ACAGGTGGCCTAGTGAGGCTGTTCATTTGAATTGCCTTTTTTAGAGGTATAGAACTCATATTTTCACAACACTGCATCTATCACTGCAAGATCTTTGTTCCCAAGAGGTAATCAGCACTTTAGAGTACATTTTTATGAACAAAGTTAAGATTGTTTTTTCTTTCTCCATGTGCTATATTGTACATTTGTCTACATTAAATTACTTCTATCACCTTATTCCCCAATCACTCAGGCTCATAATTTGGGCCTCCTTAATTGGATCTCATCTTTATTATCTTGGAGTCCCATACCATAACATTTCCCATAACAAGCCAAACATTTATTTGGGAGCTGAGAGATCTGTTTGTTTTGGAATAGGAATTTTGAGTTTAGGTTTTAGTACCACTGTTTTTTATTTTACTTTTGGAGAGGAAGGGGCTCTGGACTGGACCTGGGCTGTTACAATCGGATACCAGTGTCAATTCCATCTGCTGTTGGCTTGAGAACTGTGAGGACGGTTTGGGTGTTGCCATAAGCACTCTGTCTCTCAGCACATCCTTTGCTATGAACTTGTCAGTACTGGTTCTGCAGCCCCCCAGTATCTGAAGCACAGTCCTCAAAGTCAAACTTTTATTTCCATTCTATTTCTCTTCTCAGGCTAATGTGACAGTGAAGGAAGTATATGTTGATGTCACAGTCCATTTCTTAACACAATCACAATTCACTTCATGCAGTTATTTTGGATGACAAATACACTCAGAGTGATTATATTTGTAGCATTTTCATCTCTCTGTGGCATTCCTGGCAAAAAACAAGAAATGCCTGCACTCTTACAGTTTCCTCACCAGTCTTAAGCACTGTTCATTTTAGGTTGCAGAACTCACCTTCTCAGATACGTTTTTCTGATTTGAATGAATCTTCTGCATTCAATCTGCTCTAGATCTGGATGATTCACAGCCAAAGATATGCCTTCTCCTTACACCCAGCCTTTCTGGTTATCTTCCTATTGTTCTGCTTTTCTAATGCCAAGAGCACAGTGTCCTCTCCTGAAGAAACTGCTCTGTTCGAAGTGCAGTGTATAGGTAACTTGGAGTTGTGTGCAGTGGGAACTCAGCAGTGAGGTGCTGTTCATCCCTAGTTTGCTGGGGCTACAGGCAGCCCAGAACCTGGAGAGCTGATGCAGCAGCCAAAAAGGCTTTCAGTGAACTGCAAGTTCCTCAGCTGAACCTGACTCCCTTGCCTTCCTCCCCAAATCAGTATTGACGTTTGAACTGTTTAACTTATTTATATATTTGTTTTAATATTTACTATATTTAACCTGTTGCTCTGAATTTCAGTGTGTATGTTAAACAAACCTGAGGTTATTCTGGGTTATTTTCTTTGCCTTCTATCCACTTACAAATAATTATTTTTAATCCTAGCACTTTAATGCTAAGGGACATCCAGATCCTGGTAAAATAAGCAAGGGAGTTAGATTCAGCAAGATCACTATTTTCCACTATCGCTGTTATGATGGCAAGTTGTAGCTCAGTATGATTTTTGCTGGTATTAGAAAAAGATCAAATGCTTGGTAGTGACCTGAAACCAGGGTTTCAGGGCTGATCTTGTCTCAATGGCTGCAGTATTGTTCAGCACCTCCCCTGCTGGCACTGGCTCCCACAGTGCTGGGGTGGAGAGGCCTGACCCCCATTCCCATTAATGGGGAACCAGCAGCAGCCCCCTGGATTTTGCAACTTGTAGGCTTTTGCTAGGAGCCAGTGTTCAGGAAGGAGATTGCATTAAGCTGATGTATAAAATCAACCTCCTATCATGAATGTTATCCTCCCAGCAAAGACCTTGGGATTCTGATGGCTCATCAACATCCTCTCCTGCTCTTCTTAAGCAAGACAGAAACTGTCACCATCAGGATGCCCAGAGACACTGGAAGGGTAAGCATAACACCTGAGAAACTAGGAAGGTTTTTTGGTATAAAATTTAAGAAAATATTAATGATGCTTTCCTATATTAGATAGTTTGGACTATGCTGTTAAAAAACCAAAAACAAACAACAACAAAAAAAAACAAAAACAAAACAAAAAAAAAACACAGTTGAACTAACAGTAAATTCCTGGTTCTACAAACATAGTGTTTTCCTTTTGGTCCATAACAAGATGTTGAGTGTAAAAAAGTCAGGGGCAAGGACAAAGGAAGACAAAATGTATTTTACATATCTTAAGAGCAAAGTGTACTCTACTTTACAGGACTTGATTTTTGTATATGAAGAGAAGAGCAAAGAATTGTAAGAAAGACATTTTTTTTACCAATTAAATTATTTTCTGAAAAAGGATGATTACATGTAAGCATTGTGGAATGGGGAGAGCACATGCAGCATTGTATGGATACAATATGCCACTTAAATACATTTTAACCAATCTCTGTGTGAGCAAAGACTCAAATAAGAAATGACAATTTTTAGAAAGTAGAGCAAAGGCTTATTGAGAAAAGGATTAATGCTGCAGAGGGCCTCTCTTTCCACCTCAGAGACTTCTGGCAGACATGACTGCCTTTTGGGAAGCAACAAAGGGAAATGGGTTTCTTCCCCAACACACAGACTTTTGGCCAAAAGTAGGTGGTGTGAACTGGTGTCTGGCAATTTATCTGACTTCTCTAGATGTTATTAGCAATGCAGATGTAATCAAAAGCCTAGTATGTTTTTAAGAGAAGTCTTACTAGAAGTCTTTCCACGTCTTTGGTACATGTTGTAGTTCATAAAAAGCATTACCTAGACAGGAGGTGTGGTTCCATGCATTTGACTGTGTGTTTACACTGGATTTTTTCTGGAGGCACAAACAAACTTGTCTGTGTATGTTGAACCAGAGGATGGTGATTTCAGCGTGTGCTTTTTTTTTCTGGTTTAGCTAAACCCTTTGTAGAGTAACTAATGCATGAAGACTACTACTGTAAGATTTTGCAGATTTAAATGTTACGAAGGGGAACTCAAGGATTAAAACAAAGACATCAAAATATCATATGCTGTTTTTTGTCTGCTAGAGAATCAATTCAGCTGCATGTAACTTTAGGTTCTTATTACTGCAGAGGTGAAAAATGCAACCTTAATGTGCCTTGTAATCAAATCCAAAACCTTGGATCCCAAGCCACCATGCAGCTAAATGCTCTGGGAGATTGTTCTTTATCTTCTTGGAGGTAAAAATAAATCCATGAAGAAAGTGCAGTAATTCTTCCATATGTTTGGACATTTTCATTCCCCTCCTGTTCATGAATGTTCTTTAATGTTTCCCCCACTAGTGGGTTTCTTTTAGCCTTGTACAGATACCTGATGGATGACCGATGTCCTGGAGCCTTAATTCTCCTGGGGCTTCCAGCCTAACCTCGAAGCCTTCAGGTGTCATATATATTCAATGCCTTGGAATTTTTTTCCATCCATTTTAATCCTCTATCATCAATCTGTTAACAATCGCTGTATGTTTTGTTTCATCTCAAGAAACATCTGGAATAGTTGTACATATTTAGTATTTTTTGTTGAAAGGATCTTTTTTATTTGGTCTCATATGTCATTTTTCTTTTTTCATATACTTTGCCTAGCTACCTATTTTCACTTAAATATATCGGGTCATGAATTTGTAAAGTGGATCGTTGGCCTGCCATCAAATAATGTGTCTTTGAGCAATTGACTATGCAGCTTTTTAGTAGTGAGTAAGTCTTCTGTATTATCTAAGAGATGTTTGACACCCTTTTAGAGAAGTTTTCAAATCTTTTCTAAACAACCAACTATTGTGACCAGACACAAACTTAGCAGTGCAAACATTTCCAAATAAAACAATAAACGATTAACTGACAGATAAAAAGCTAACCAAAGGCAGAAATGCAGAGTTTGTCTAACATCATGGTAGCTGTGGTAGTTTCAATTCAAAATAAAGAATAATAGTTATAGTGTAAATGTTTGGTATAACAGTCTGTTGGGAAGAGCACTTTTCTGGGGAAATAAATGGAAACAAACAAACAAACAAACAAAAAAAAACCACTACATTGTGCCCATCTCAGTTCTCTGGTCACATCTTGGAGGACAATGCTTCAAACACCAAGCTAACAAATAGTAATAAAATGGTGGTAAATGGGTAGAGGTGGAGGAATCATTTGTTTTTCCTGGAAGTAATGCTATGTACAACTTGGAGTAGTGCAAGAATGTGAAAAAGGGCCAAAAAGGGTGCAAAGCAGGAGTCCTGGACGAAGGCATCCTTCTCAAATGAGTAACCCTGTTCCTGGGGTGATTTGCCCTGGACAGAGCGGAGACTGTGAGCAGCCTCTGACACTCATGCCAATGTAGATTGGGAGCATAGTTAAAGATGGATCTAGGACACAAATACATCCCTGAGACCCACAATTTAGATGGAGCCTCTGAGTTGGAGGCCAGTTATCTTTATGTTGTGTCAGCTGCCTCTGCTTCTGATGTCATGGAGAGGCATCGTAAAAGGTAATGCTGGCCTCTAAAATTTGACTGAGCTCCCTCTCCCTCTCCCTCTCCCTCTCCCTCTCCCTCTCCCTCTTCCTCTCCCTCTCCCTCTCCCTCTCCCTCTCCCTCTCCCTCTCCCTCTCCCTCTCCCTCTCCCTCTCCCTCTCCCTCTCCCTCTCCCTCTCCCTCTCCCTTTTGTTCTCTTCTTTTTCTCTATCTAGTACTTTGAAAAGGGCAGAAATTTGTAATTTGAACCATAAGCATATTAAATTAACTGTCACTCTTGGCTATTACACTTAAGGACTTTGCTTTCAACCTGATTTTAGAACTTGCTCATCTGTACTTCTGGCTCCTATGTTTTAGGAAAGAGGTCTAATGTCGCTGTAAGCATTAAGATTTGGCTATGTTCTGTTCCAATGTAACAGTTCTGTGGAGCTGCAGGAAGTTTTATTTCTGTTGCACATCTGCAGTAAAAACCAGGCATTTGAAACCTGAGCCCCTTAAGGGCCCAGTTCTCAGAGATATTGATCATCTCCTACAACTTTTTGTCTGCTTTCAATTCCCATTGCAGTCAGCAGGAGACAAGGCTCTCAGCACCTTGCAGGATCCAGCTCACAGAGGCTACTTTTGGAGAAGCTTGTCTGCCTATGTATTCAACTGGCTGGATGATCTCTCATCAGATGGCTCCATATGTTATTGCACAACCCAGATATTTCTGCTGTCAACTGCAGGTAAAACAATGTCTGAATTGTCTGGACTCGATTTGAAAAGTTACTAAATGAAAGCGAGTTAGAGTAAATGGATTTAAGTGTTTTTGAATATATATATATATTTTACACTTGAAGCTGCAGTTTAGAGTACTGCCTATATTCAGAAGGGGGGTCATTTCTATGAACTTCTCTTTTCAAGTCATTTTCCTGTTTAATAATTTAATAATTAAAGCAGTTTAACAATTAAAGAATAGGGGAGATTAAGTCCTAAATGAGGTTTCAGAGGTTTCAGTCCAATTCAGAATAAGTCATGTAGTAATGAAGGACATAGGTGACTCTCCAGTTGACTGAGGTGGTGGAGGCAATTCATATATGATGAGGTCCTCAAAGCATCTTCAAAAGGAATAGTGAAAATTTAGTCTGACTGGAAATGCCAACTACCCCTGAACATCCCAGGCTGTCATACCAGTTGGACCGGGGGAAGAAGAAAACCTCATACAATGATTTCTGTGGAGAACTAGAGATTTTTTTTTTTTTTTTTTTTAATTAGTCCTGCAAATTTGAACATTCCCTTTTAGCTTTTCCTCATAGATGCATTTATGAATAATGCAAATTATTGAACTTAATGCAGGAGAACTTATGCAGAAGATGATAGTGGATGATCCCTTCATGATCCCTTCTACCTTACATTCCCTGAATAAAAAATAAAGATCTAGAGATAGACTATACTAAACTAAAAGCTAAGTCCTACTTTTACACGATAAAATAAATACATAAATAAATAAATCTATGGCTAGCATTTGAGGCACTGAAAGAGCTAATTTCTAGAAATGTGAGAAACCTGTTAATCCAGTTGAAGTCAAGGAGAAATGGTGCAGAACCTCAAAAAAACAAACCTGAACTATCTTAAATTAAGCAATAAAAGTTGAAAGAATTACAAAAATGTTGAGCTTAACACTTATTGAGTAAACTTTTTTTCCCCCCATCTTTCACATAGCCATTTCAAGTATATTTAGCATACACTTTCACTACACTCCTGCCCCTCCCCTTCTCAAATGGGACAGAACACTTTAAGTTGCCTTCCCAGTTAGAGTTTTGGTCTTGAGTTTTCCTGTTTTCACTGGAGTTATACATATGCCACATGGAGCCAAAATGGACAGTATACTGACAGGTGAAAGCTAGTGATTTGAAAGAAATCCCTCCTCCACAGACTCAGTCTAACCTCATCCTGAGCAATTATTTTGGTAGTACAGTTTCCATTTTCCAAGCAGCAACACTGCCAAAGATTTTGGTCTGTTCAGTGCAAAACTTTCTACCTAAAAAAGTTGAAGCTAAATCAGCAGCACATTGGAATCAACTGGTGGATTAAGAACAAGAAACAGAGGAAAGGCACAAATATATATGCAAAAAATATATAAATTATAAAAAAAGCGCGCACACACACACACACACACACATATTTAAAGAAGAAGAAAATCTTCATTTAAGCAGTTCAGTTTCTGTAGAAAAACAGTTATGCTGAAAAGACTGGAGCCGATTCCCTCAGGCAGCGACTGCTTGGGTGATAGCTTCGCTCTGGCAATAGCAGTCTGCAGGTAGGAGTTCTCAGCTCCTTGGGGAGGTTGAAAATGCTGCGGTGTACCTCAGAATTCCTTGGTAATGCACACAAGCCTGATTTTTCTGTGCCCATGGAGGAAGGTTACGTTGAGGGTGAAAGAGGAAATGGGAAAGTTATGGAGGGTGCCACATGGAGCTCTGTGCCACTGGCCACTAACACAACCTCCTCTTTCCTCCCTGTCTCCTGAAGCACTCATCTTTACTCCATCTGTTCTTCTGGTAGCTGTATCCGAGGAAAAGAAAGTCATTGAGGTAAAATGCCTCAGTTGAGTGGCTTAAGGTACAAGAAGGTACAAGACCTCTTGTAGCAACATCTTCCTAGATTTGTTTATTATTATTATTTTTGTTGTTTTAGTGTTGTGTTCCCCTACTTCCATTGACACAACTCACTGCTGGGCCTTGCAAAGTCAAATATATGTTCAGAATTATGATCTCTGAATTTAAAATTTATTATTAATGAAGAACACGGTTTCTCAGTCAGAGCATTGCTGTGGCTAATGCCATGGCCAGGCAGAGTCACCCTCTGCCTCCTGGCACACTGAGGCAGCTGTGCTGGATCCTCCCAAGCCTGCTGTGAGGGGCTGAGGCCTATTTCTGCTGCACGCAGCTGAGCTTTCATCCACCTGGCCTTGAAGAGCTCTTGCTGTATGCCACAGGTCCAGGAGAGGAGGCCATGCAGTACACCCTGAAGTGCTTGTACCACAGTCTGTTTTGGTGTGATGGGTTACTGCAGCATCCGTATTGAGTAGAGGAGCCTGCCTAACGCAATTTGGAGCTTGACTAGTGACACTTGAAGTAAGAAATTGCAACACTTATGAGAAATATTGCTAACTGAAGTTCAAATAACAAAAGCCATTGAAGAAACGGTTCTCCATGGGATTAATCTCATGAACAGGGAAGGGAAGATGCATACAAGCCATTTTGAGTTGCTTATTCCAACTCACAGCATATGTTAAACCAAGTCAGATTAAAAGGCTGCCTCTTTATGAGCAGGCGGTGCTGAGTATGATCACAAACTGGGCCTTTTCACAATGATTGTGTATTTGGTTCACTCTCAAAAATAGTTATTCTAGACTCTCTGAGGAAAAATTTATTTGTGCCTTTATTTAAAGAAAATATTTGAAAACCTGGGTACAGCTTGGTCTTGCTTTTCCCAACCGGAAGAAATATTCCTGCTTTCAAACACTTTTAACAGCTGCAAGGAAGCCACAGTCAACTTTGATCTGTCAGTGAAATTAGTTTTCCTTGTTAATAAAACCTGATATCTTGGACAGGATGTTTAAGAAGTGATTGTGGACCAGTTTTAACCATCGGTGTGCAAACAGGAGTCAGCGTTAAACTTGTGTTTAATAGAAGAGATACGCAACCTAAACACACATAGCAAATTGAATCCCTCCAGAGAAGCACACAGCCCGCCTTGCTGCAGGCCTGCTTCTGCCCCCTTTGAGGTCTATCATAAATCTCCCGTTGCCTTTTTGATTTAGTGTCAGCTGCTGTGACTGTGTAGCTGCTGTTGGGGGGAAGTTTGTGTACCTCCGAGCAGCTGCCTGGAGGGTCTTAAGTAACTTACCACTGGCTGGTGCAGGCTTTTGGTCAGATATGACCTTATTGATAAGAATGTAGGCACTTTAAGGCTTAGATGTGGGTTTTCTGGGTATCTCTGTGATAGGTAGGTGCCTACATTCCTATCTTGATTCAGGCTGTGTGTAGCTAGATGTATATTCGTATGTTTTAACTGATGTCAATGGGACTATTTACTTGGGTTATTCATGCCCTTAAATGGTTTAAGAAGGAGGCCTCAGTGAGGTGAATCAGGCACTGGAAACCTAAAATAGATTTCCAATAAACCTAATTAATTCAGAATTCTGATTTTCATTACAGTGTATTAAGTTAAGTCAGATACTGAATAGGAGTAGAAACAAAATGATGGACATGGTGGCACTTCCTGCCAGGTTGTGGGTACAGTACTTGTCATCAGATAAAGGGGATCTAAAGGTTAGCATAGATGAGTAGATATTTTTAACGTTTGAGAGACAATTCCAGAAAAAAGCATGTGAGAAAAGAGATGACAGCTTGCCGTACATGAGAAATCTGCCCAGTATTATATACAAGGAGACAATATAGTGGAATTGTGTTGGGAAATACAAGAACTGTTGTTGATTTTATGAAGTTATATAGCACTTAACCTGGTATTCCCAGATGAAAAAGAATAGGAAGAAATCCATGTTTAGAAGTGAGGATGGCTGAAAAGAGGCAATCTGGAGAGGTGAAAATGTAATAATTTCCTCCAGCAGCAAACACAATGGAAATGAAACTCGTCTGTCTATACACTCTTACCATTTGAGATACTCTAGAGTATTTTGCAAGGCCTCCAACTGCAGTTCCAGAAGAGCTTGGGTCTCCTGTAGGTCCTGTGCAGACATTTTAAATGTCTTTCAGCAACCCAGATGTAGTGGGGGCTTTTGTTTAGGGAATGGAATCTCAATGTAGTAGACTTTACTTTTTTTGTGCTGACTTTTAAATGTGAAAAATTAGACTCAACAAAGTACTTATGCTCCTTTTAGTTCATTTTACTGGAAAAAGAGAAGACGAAAAAAAGAAGGTAAGAACTTAAGTGCTGTGCTGAATCTGGGCCAGGTAAGGAAGTTCATCGCACACAACAGCTAGGGCCAGCTATTCTCCATGTATTCATACAGCCTTCCTGGGAACACTGATCTTAAAGAGAGTGCCTTGGTTTCATGTGAGGAAACAATACAGAATTAGGAATTCGGCTGGATCATAGTGGGAGTACAGATCTACTGAATGCAGGTGAGGGCTGTGATTTTATATAACCTGGGAACCTTCAGAGATACTTGCTTCATTAATGTTGGTCCTCTTAATGCAACTCCCTAGGAGACGCATAAATTAGCTTGGTTTCTGTATTACTGTCTAGTCTGACTGCAGAGAGATGATTCTGGACATGGGCATGATGAGATGTTTGGTTGTGCATGAAATGAGTCATCTCAAATAAAGAGGGGAAGAAGGCCAGCTGAAAATGATTGCACTTGGATAGATAAAAAAAAAAGTGAGTGTATGTGTGAATTTTCTGTAGAAAGAAGAGACAGATTTACTATGTTTTTTTTTTTTCTTGTTGTTTTGTTTTGAGAATTTAATCATGTTGGTAAAGCAGTGCAATTTTAATGTTTAACTTTGCATTTCTTTAAGAAATATATAAATCTTAAAAAGTAGGAGCCTAAATGGTTGTTATGATCTGACCTAGTGGATAATGTTTATTAGTCCTGAATGTGAAGGGAGATAATTATCCACCAAAACAGCAAACATTAAGACCCCATGAAAGTGTGAAACCATTGGTGAGTCCCAAGGTTCTCATTTGTGCTAGGCCAGAAGACCTGAACCGGTGTAAAGTCAACCTCACCTTAGATCAGTTCTGAGGAAAGCCCTGCTTTTAAGTCCAGTAGCATCAACTGCAAATGAAAATCCACTTAATTTTTAGGTAGGCAAAAGTAAAACATCTTCAAATATTTCATTGTTAACTTTGTGCTGTATTAATCTTCTCATTTGTCTTTCAATCAGACAACATCTGTTCTTTCTCCTATAAACTATAAACTCCAGCTTTACCTTACACAGTTGTTTTTTAATTTCTAAATAAATACTTATATGATTCTTCATCATACTAATAATTTTAGTTATGGTGGTTGCAATATGTACTGAAGATGCTTTTTTTGGTTGAATTTGTCTCCATTTCAACTTTTGTTTAAAACCAACACTCATTAACTTCAACTCCACTATTAAAAATAAAATAAAATAAAATAAAATAAAATAAAATAAAATAAAATAAAATAAAATAAAATAAAATAAAATAAATAAAACAGAAGCACTTGGGGGAAAAAATGAACCAAGCCACCAACAAAACAAAACAAAAACCAAAAACCCACAAATGCTGATTAAAAACAGGGTAGTCCTGCTCATATGTGTGATCTTATCAGACTGGCCTTTTTCTTTCCAGATGTCACAATTTTATGTAGTGTAAATGATACTCTCTTTACCCAGATGGTCTAAGATAGAAACAGCTTCTGGGAGGTATACACTATTTAATTCTGTACATCCAGGATCTATAAAAAAAAGAAACTGGTCAGTAAAGTGTCTGAATTTTGCAATATTCATTTGGGAATAGAAGCCCTGAACTGACTGACTGCACACTTGACCAGATGTGGTCTCATCTTTATAGAAAACAACCAGACCACCAATAAAATTATTCAAAATATGACTCAGAGTGGCAATCACAGGACTGCTATTCTCATCATAACAAGCTCCACTGTGCACAAACAGTAAGGGTCAGATTTAGTTCTCATTTACACTGGAATATAACTGTCTTGAAGAGAGGGGATTTTTTTTTTTTCTTCTCACAGAGAAGAAAAAAAGTGACTTTCGTCCCCTTTTTCTGTACAGGCATAACACACATTAGGAAGCAGATAGGTAATTCAGCACATATTAATAGAACCAATAATTGGACACAAAGGGCTTAATTAATTTTGTTCTTGGATGGTAGTATATGGTGTAGGAGTCTCACTGAAATGAAAGCCACATATCTGAGGGCAGAGCTGACCCATATAAACTGAGTGTGGCTTCCCTCTTAAATGCCAGAAGCTATTGGATTATTTTCAGAAGGTCTCCTTGGAAATGATTTTAAGTCAGTAAATAATCAAATGGAGAAGTATTTTAAATTACCTTATTTTTGTAAACACGGTGTTAGTTTTCCTAGAAACGAGACCAAATGCAACAAAGCTCGTTATTTAGCTGAGTTAAGTTAAGGATGGGCTGAAGACAGTGTTTATACAGTGCCATAGTCTAACCTAACATAAGCAGGTGCCCTCACAGTGCTATTTGTGCAATAGCATCTGGTATTCTAGTTTTGGGTTTGATGACCCTAACTGCACTTCCCCAGAGCATGCTGTTTGCCTGCTTTCTGCAGACCCTTTGGTACAAAGCTCTGCTGAAATTCACTGCCTTGGAGAGTTGTAGGTGATGCAGAATTGTTTGGTGACTCCCAAGTGCTAGGAAATCTGGAGTCAGTAGTGTGGGCAGCAGCCACCCCTGTACTGCTGCCCCCGTCAGCATGGGTGGTTGTGGCAGGGAAAGGCAGGCTGCCTGGTTGCAGCTAAACACATACCCTTGCAAACCACAGCACCAAGTGCAAGTAAAAGAACATTTCTGCTTTGCCTAGTCTACGTGGGAATAGGAAAGATTCATACAAAGCTTAGTGGAGTCCCTGAATGCCACCTTTTCTCTTTTGTCCCAGTTCCTCTGTATGTTGTATCTTCAGCTTCAGTTTCCTTGTACTCTTTTCTCTTTAAATAAGACAGGTAGAAGTTCAGGGTGTTGACTTAGTGCTTTTTACAAGTGAATTTATGATGTAGAAAGAGTAATAAATGCTAAGTAGAGTTTATATCTTAGTATGTAGGTTGCTTCTTCAGAGATGACTTTTAAGTGTAATTTATTCTTCAAGAACTGATTTTCTTCATGATTTATTTATTTATTTATTTATGGAAAACATCTCTCATAAAGTATCAAAGGAAAGAAAAAAGAAACAAGTTTTTTTTTTTTTTTTTTTTTTAATGAAAGTCATTAAAGTTGGTCTTGAGGCTTACTGACACCAAATGCAGTTGCTTCTTCCATCTTTGATTTTCTGCTAGTCTGCTGGTCAGCTGACCTCTCAAGCACCTAGTTTTATTTAGACTCTTATATTTTCATGCTCAGCATATGTATTTTTTGAGTGTGGAAGTGTGAGAAAAATTGCCAAAAAATAAACAGCTGAAATATGAAGCCAAAATTTTATAATTTTATTTAGGTTGGTAATTAGAGACTTCAATGTTGTGGAGGCAATAGTGACTCTAGTAAGTCAAAGATGCTCACATTTGGAGGAAAGAGTTAATCTGACAGCATAACTGAAAACATTAAGATCTGTGCAAGAGACTTTGACTGATGCTAATATAAGTGGCTAGACAAGGCCCAGAACTAGTAAGAGGGCAGTACTTCTAAATTGCCGAGTAGGCAGAAGATGAACTGAGAGAAGAAAGTATTCTTAAATCAGTCGGACTTGCTTTAGAGCCAATATGTGTATAAATGATCCGACCAAAAAGTCGGAAAGTGTTTGCCAGATTGTTCTGGAAAGATGCAGGTGAGTTATGTGGGTTGCAACTGGGAGGAAAAGAGGATGTGTCCCTGATGAAAACTCAGGATGTTAGCAAACAGACTAAACTGTTTTGGTTGGGCAAAATGTCCTTGGGTGTCCGTGGGAGCTGGGAAAACTTGGAGAGAGGTGGAAGGTCTGAAATTTCAAGAAGCACATGGTGCAGCAGCAGAAGTAATTGCCACTCACCTTGCTGAGCTCCAATTGTTTTCTAAGAGGCACAGTTACATGAATCGCCATCTATACCACTGCAGCTTGTCCGGTAAGCATAGGCAAAGAGAGAAACATACTGGCAGAAGAGTATAAAGGTACAATGAGAAAGTCTGAAAGTTGGCTATGTTCTTTGCATTTCAGAAAGTTTTCAGCTTAATACTCCCTCTTGACACTCCCCATCTCTGGACGTGTTTCTTTTTCTCTGTTTCTACCAGGTAGTGGATGAAGTTGTATTCCTCTTGCCTGCCTGGAGCATCTCTGAATCAAATCCCAGCTGTTGCCTTTCCTGTGAGTATGTGTCTATTTCTTTTTACTTTGTCCTGCACCAGTGAAATTTGGCACCCACAGGTGGTATGACCAATAAAGTTTATCTAGATAAGGTTCAGTGCTCCAGTTTTGCTTTGAAACACCTGTCTGAGACAACCATGAATGATCACTATAGCTCCTGAAGGTGGCCACCCCAAGTCACTCAGTACACTTCCATTATGCAGCTTCTGTTTCTCTTTTTGTTTTGTTTCATTTCTTCATTGTAAGTTATTTTCAGACTTAATTTCCTCTGTGGTATAGACTATTCTACCTGAACTAATTTATTTCCTTTTGTAAGCCAGTGATTAAACTATGGTCTTTAAAGAAAATGTCACTTTTGCACTATGAAAAACTGAAAAAATCCCTCTTAGGACCTTTGTTTAACTCATTTGTGGAGATACCTGTTTTATTTATGTATTGTTTTTGCCTTGTTGCAATATCTGAGCACTTCTTCAGCATTATTCAGTTTATCACTATAAAGTGAAGTAGAAAACTCATTAACACTTTTGTAATTGATTAAGCTTTGCAATGAGATAAGAGAATTCTGTAAAAATGATAATCAGATTTCTCCATATTACTATTATATTTAATTAAATCTGCCAGTTATGTTGGAAGTTGCAGGATATCTCATTGCAGCTGATAAGCATGAGAGGTCATTTAGCTAAATGTCAGTAGCAGTTTACCTTGTTCTTGCTTAGGCAGCGCCTACTTATTCTGTGAATGCCTGGAGCATCAGGCCACATGCAATGCCACCATAAGAAGAGTCTGAAATTTCCCCTGGGATCTGAGTACATGTACAGGGAATTTTTGTAGTGGAGGAGTATGTATATACAAGAAAGAGGCAAACAGATAATTAAAAAGAACTGCAGAGAAATATGTAGAGGGGCCTGTGTAGTAGTTGAAAGAAAGCCAAACAAATGCTTGGACTGCTTCTTCCTTTAGAGAAAAAGTAGCACATGTGAGAGAGGTGGCCAGAGACAGTGAGCATGCTGGGTAGCATTTGGGGTAGAAAATCTGACGGAAAGAGTCTTGGAAGTATAAGAAAACATCCCCTATCTCTTCCTGATGGATCCGTGCAGAGCTTGGGGAAGACAGAACTTTATGCACATTTATTTTAACTTAAGTGGGATTGCATCAAAGAGATGTCTGATGCCATTGCCAATTTCACCTTCTAATGCAAACAATATGAAACTCCCTACATATATTAGCTATATGCTTGGGTCAACTGGAACACTTTTTCAGTTTGTATAATTTAAAGTTAAATACAAGTGAGGAAATTACCAATAACAGAAGAGCTACGTACTTTCTTTAGCTCTTGAGGAATCCTACTGGAACTCACTATGTTTTGAATTCTGTTCTGAAAAATATACCAGTTTTCATGTTGCAAAACTAATATCCTCTTTCCTGTAAGCAACAGTTTTACATTCCCCAGTCTCTCCTTTGTTTCTGATCAACCTACTAAATGTGGCAAGCTTCTTTCTTATGTTTCCTTATGCTTCAGAGCTAATCATTCTTTAAAATAATCATTTATTTTTCCAACCATTTCACAGCACAGAAAATGCTAAGTCACAGAAAAAATGCATATTGCAGCTGGAAATGATATTCAGTACATTAATTAGATCCTTCCTCCAGTCTTATGAAAACACAACTGAACCATAAAAGAAAACCACTACACTAGCTCAACTAAACATGCATCAGTTACTCATCAAGGAATGACTTTTGAAGCTTCTATTTTCCATTGTAGTCTTCAACAATAAAAGTAAAGTAGTCTTCAACAAAGTAAAAAGTAAAATAGTCTTCAACAATAAAAGTAAATCCAGTAGAGCTTAGTATGGATTGATAGTGTTACTTAGTGCTGTTGCATTCATGCAGGAGACTGAACAAGGCTTTAAAATATGAACTGAAGTGACAATTCCTCTGCTGTCCCCAAACAAATCCGCTTGGGTAAGGGGATAGGGGAGGCAGATAGAGGAAGAATTATCTCCAACTGTTGAGAGAATGAGAAAGAAAAATAGGAGAGAAACGATGGAAGATAAGATCATTTTCAGAAATAAGTAAAATAAATAAATAAATAAATAAAAGCAACTGCTAAATAACAGTGACAGAAAAAAGAGATGCTGGGGCAGAGAAAAAGAAGTTTGGAATTGCATATCATGGTTACCAGGCAGTGGTGTAACCAGTCAGTGTTTGAAAGTTTGCTTACAGACAGGACTAAATCGTTTGTGATTAATGACTCCTAAGAAGGCAGGAATTGAGATTAAAAGCTGTCACTTCGAAAGCACCTGTTAGCCTAGCACTTGATTTGGGAGATAGCTGTTTTAATAGATTTCTTACTTTTCAGCTTAATTTCCTAAGAAGTTACAGCTTTGGTCATTTGTTTTTTGTTTTTTAAGAGTCACTTGCTGAATGTCTCTTAGTAGGTCTCCCCCCCCCCCCCCCCCAAAAAAAACAAACAAAAAACAACAAAGAAGCAAGAGTGCCTTCCCTCCCAGACTTTTTAACCAATTAGTCACATTTAACAGAGAATGAGGGACCTAAAGAGAAAACTATCCCAAACAAAAGATAGATGAGACCTAACATAGCAGAGATATTTCTTTAATGCTCCTCTTGATGGGAATATTCAGGAATAACTCAGCCAAATATCAAAGAATCAGTATGGAGGAATAAACAGAATGAGAGGTTATCCACTGAAATATCCATCAGTGACAGGACAAGAGTTGCCCTATTAGACAACAGAGAATTAATTCTGGATTCTTTCACATCTAATGACCAGACCTAGCCTTACTACAACACAATGACAAAAACTTGATTTCAAAACAGGCTTTTGAGGAAAACAGGATCCTGTAGTTCCCCAAAGCCTACAGATGATTAGTTATACTTTGTTCAGTTGCCTGAACTTGAGTGTGGTGGATGTCTCTGTGCCTACTTTGTGCACATATCAGAACTGAGTCTTCAGAGCAGGTTTTCCTACACGTGAAATCTCTGAAAGGCTCCAGTTAGAGAAAGGTGTTTTTTTTTTTTTTTTTTTTTTTTTTTTTAATGCTTCAGGTCTGTCTCCAACAAAATGCTGTTCTCTAAGCTTCTGTTTAGGTTTCTCCTTTTGAAAATGGGTCTTGAATTCTCAGAGGCAAGATTGGAGAACTGAAGCAGTTAACTCCCCTTCCTTCCCATGCAGTCATGCAGTAAGGTGCTCTCCTGGGAAGTGAGAAATGTACAGCTGTGGAGGAAAATTAATCCCAGTTTACCATTTCCTACATACATCTTGTGAGCACTAGGTTACTCAGTAAATGAGGGGGTATCAAGACATCAAAGTGATGTCTTGATAGTCATCACTCTGTCATCAGAGTGAAACAGGCATTTCAAAGAGATGCTTCATGCTGGCAGTCCAAGTAGAAGGACCTTCCTGAGAACTACTGTAGGCCCATTCTGGATATTTTACTGCTGAGTGAAAAATTGAGACAGTGCTCTTCTCAGTACAGTATATGTTCTTTTTCCCATTCCATGGTTCCTACCCATTTTCTTGCCTAGGAATATCACAGAGGGTTTAGATGCCAGACATCAGAGTGTTTGGTGTGTTTTCTGGTCACTTTTGACATTTGCGGAGCATGAGCCATACTTGTTTTATGTCAAGTACAGATCTGCTGTCATGTTTTCTATTGTTTTTTCTCCAGCAAGTCATAGAGTATGAAACATAAAGTAAAATGAGGCCAAATTAGTAGACGTGCATGAAGCAAATTCAGCTTATCTTAATAAAACTTCTCTTCGACACATAGAAAAAATAAACAGAACAGTAATCCAAGAGATTAAAGAAGGGATTGACTTGATAATCCTTAGTTTATAAACTGACAACTGTTAATATCAGTTGCAGTCATTGTTGAGTTATAGATTAGCCTGTAGCTGTCAAAGTATTTTTTATCACCACTGTTGGAGGGCCAACAGATGATGATGTAATCCAAGCATGACCCGATCCCTAGAGTAAAAAATGTTTTGTATGTGGAAGTAGGACCCAGAATCAGTCCTCATCATTAATTTTAGGCAGATTGTGACACCCTAGGAAAGAAGACCCTGGAACCATATGTGTCATAAGGTATCTTCAAACTCAGTAAAACCCATCATTACTTACTCTGTGTGCCATACTTTTATATTATTGGTTCACAAGTACCATTATGGGTAATAGATTTAGTATCTATGGGTGTAGAAAACTTTTTTGTGTCTTTGTTGGACCAGATGTTCCTGAACAAGAGGTCAATTGTGGAACTTGGGGTATCTATCTGTTTTTAAAGAGTGATTCAATAAATCAGCTCCGCTGAACTCCTAGGCACCAGGAAACTTAGTGAATATTTTTTTTAATGTTGGAGAGAAAGGAAATCTCTGCTAGTTGTCCTGTTTGTAGTGTTTTTCTGTCAGGTAAGCTATGCATCAGAAACAATGCTCACCTTGAATTGAAGAGTTACTCAGATACTTTTGTAATGGAGAAAAAGGTAAATGGAGTCTGTGACCTTGCCAGTGTTGACTGATAGGCAGGACAGTTCAGGCACATTCAGGCACAGTTTCAGGTCACCTCTTTTGCTGGCTTCAGGGACAAGGTGCCCTCAGTCATGTTGGAATGCCCTGATCTCTTAAGCAGAAAAAGATTAGATTTAGTACTAAGTACTTGGTTGCTAATTTGACACAGACGAAGGAATGGAAAAGCAATTCTAAGTCTGTGGAGTGTCTCACTGCATTTTCAAATGACAAGGATAATTTTATCCGTTCTTCATGTTAATGAGAATATTAATGAAAATAATTTGATCAAATCTGCTACAAGTTCTTTGAAATAGGAGCGTGCCTCTGCTGTGTGTATTCTTAGAGGTTCTTGAATCTTGCCATAAATATTGAGGGACTTAGATCTAATTAGACTTTAAAGAGGTAGGAGAAGATAAACTGAGAATAAATTGGCAGTTTCAGAAACAGGAAAATGTAAAGCTCAAAGGTACATTTGC